GCATTGTTGAGTGATTGAAGTCATCATGTTACGACTGGTCTCTTTCACCAAGGCATTTGGCTTGCAGACAGCCTGTTTCCTCTTCTTCGATGTTTGTACAGATGACGTTGACGCTTCACAAATGCTTGAGCTACCTTCACTCTATATAAGTCAAATTAATCACTGAATGAAAGTAGACTTTTTGCATAAAAAAATTAACTTGTTTATCAGTGACTTTTTGACTCTCCAAAGTAAAATTTTATTTAAGTGTTTCATGTTGGATTACTTCGTTAACTAATTTCGCCAAATAACATTTGGCTAGAAGTGTTCAAGGGATCAGTCATTGGGCATAAAATTAATCAGATTTCTTTCACTGACCTCCTGACAGAAATAACGTTTAAATCTCCATTCTGACCTCATTTGTTGTTTCTGCGGCTACTTTTCCAACATGTGCTGACTGGTTTTCATGACGTCGGTCTTCCTTGATCTTGCATAGTTCCTCCAACTCCTCATCAACTTCTGGAATCCTGCGAGGGAGCGAGGTTTTCATCCATTGTACAACGGTTTGAGAATCAACCTCAGCGTTGAAGCTAACTCTGCGGATTTTCATGACAGGCGGTGGTTCTACCTCGTCCGTACTCGTAGGGGAGTAGTCGGTAGCGATCCTCACAACCGTGTCACTAACTTCACTTGCACATGGCTTGTTGGCATCACGTGACCGTGGTGTACCGTTGGAAGTCTTGCAGTCGTCTTTGGGTGACATCTCAAAGCCAGGGTTGATATGCTGACCGGCATCAGACGGCACTTTTCCTGCCATGGGCGGAAGACGGAGGGAAGAATTGACTCGCTGAGACTTCTTAATCGTGATGGACTGCATGTCATCGAAGAAACGGTAGAGACGCTTGGTCCAGTTACCAACAGACCGAATATGAAGAGACAGAATGTCTACGAAGAAAAGATAACATCTCAGAACTTAACAAAGAAGCATATTGCCGTGAAGGTATACCACACAACATCGTGTACGGAGTCCTTGGTATACAGTGACAAATATGAAAATTTTGTTTCATATCGAACTATCATCTCTGATTTTGACATTGCCATTTTATTGTCTGATTTAAACTCACTCTGCACATGGTCAGGTCGGTGAAGACTGCCTTTTAATATCAGCAACTTTAAATTTATGGATCTGTCAGGAAAGGTCAACCCCTATTTATATTATATTTATGGTTGTGTGTTATATACCACTACCTGTGAAAAATATCTAAGAATTGCGATAAGCGTAAAAATTAAACCGGAGCAAACACTGGCATGACATTTACATTAAGTCCATCAAAATGTTAGGACTCATTAATCGAAATTTCAGTAATTGCTCAACCGTCGTCTTGATGAAACTGTATACCGCTCTCATCCAATCTCGATCAGATTGCTCACGCATAGCGTGGGGGCCTTATACACTAAACGATTCTCGTATAGTAGAGCGTGTACAGAACCAGAGTGTTAGATTTATCTGCAGAGATTAGCATACAAGCTATACACTCTCGTCAATCATTTAGGCTGGACTGACCTCCGAACTAGATTGATGTTCTTTCGTTCCTTGCTTTTAATTTAACAAAAATTCATTAGTATTAATTCACTTAAAAAGTTTCATCCAGCCTCAAGAAATGGGCGAAATGCTAACAGTTTTGAACTTGACACACCTTTTTACTTTTGGCTTGTCTTTTGTATTTACCTTTATTTTTCTTGTGATCGTGTAATTTAACAATTTGTCCCCCTTTTAACCTAAATTGCCTTTTCTTAACGGTTGAACCTTATAGATGAAATCTTTTATATAAATTCCCTTATTTTCATAGGCCAACAGAATTATCATGTCTCTTCAATGTTTTCGAAAGGGATTCATGCATTTTGTTTTTTATCACCTTTTTTTCTTATTCACAAAAACTTTGTCTTATTTTATCTTAGTTATCTCAAATTTTACTCTGTTTTTATTCGGGAAGTGGTCTAGATTCTAACCTACTTGACTTGATTCATCTCCATTCGATTCCAGTACATAACTCTGACGCTAATCGATTTTACTTTCTTTACATTCAATTTTACTTTATTCTATCAGGTAGAATAGACTGCTTTCATTTTCTTGTCGATTTGTCTAAACTCTAATTCAATTTTATTCCGTTTCTTGCGGCAGTACTACGGTTGGTATCGATACTGACCTGCCTGTTCCGGAGCACTGCTAATCGTAAACGGGTGCCACTCGTTCCTCGCTATTTCAGGAATCTTGACAAAAACGTAGTCCCCAGCTTTGTACTTGAAGTTACGCGGCTTGGTCATGACTAAATGAGTCACCTGAAAAGAAAATACGCAAAAATACGCAGGTCGTTCCAAATACAAATATATAATATACATGCTTCCTGCAAGCTAATAGGTAGCCTTAATTAGGTGTGATATGATCTTGTACAAGTCACATTATCCCTTTAGACCACCCTGGAGTGTGGATACCTGTAAGGGCAGCGATGGTTATTGTGTTTGGCTGTTTGTGACTGAAATGGAGCATGGGCCATATTGTTCTGAGGGAGCTGAGACAGTTTTAGTCAGAAATGTTCATTTACTATGAGCCCGATAAGTAGTGATACTGAATGATAGATAGTGTTAGATAAATTTACGCCGTTGATATTATGTCAAAATACGGTGGCATTTTATGGACGACCATTGAGCTATTATACACAAGGAGTAAGCGCTTAAAGAGATCAAAAGATCAATGATGGCCACCGCCAGCACTGCACGTGCTGCAAGGACAAAGCAAATTACGCGCCGCTTATGGGCTACAAGGAACGCTCGGAGTTGCATTTGCAAAGGATTGTGGGTATCGTGCATGCATGTCCATAACATGTTCAACATGGCCGCCATTAGACGGAAACCACTGTCATTGGAGACTTAAATTCAGATAACTGTAGTGAATGTTCTGACATTTCAATGATAATGAAAGTCTGGTTACGTCTTAACATTCCCAAAAAGTCGCTCTTAACAATAAACAGAATTACCAACTAACACAAATTCTCCCAAAATACGCGACAACAAAACTGAAAGAATGTAGCTGGTCCAGAGGAAATAAAAAACACACAAACACATGGGAAGATTCATTGTTCTTCCTGTCATTGGCCACAATTGGCCAGGCATGAAACCTCGCCACGTTGTCAAATGCATTCCTGCGGCATGTTTCCACCTTCTTTAACCATAGGAACCACAAGGATTGCAACTTATGACAAAAATATCGCAGTTCATATTTTGGATATTTCTCTACCGCCAGAACCGCAAAGTGTCACAACCGACTTTATAAACGTCCGACTTTTGCCAAATAACCACCACCGATTCGGAATTTTCAAGCGCATCTGCGGGGATCACTCGCTGACTCATTAGGACTACTGAAGAGAACTGCGCATCTTCTTCGTGTAATCTTTTCTACCATTTGTTTACTCCAGTATGCCGCAGCGAAACAGGGCGAGTCTGTGGGTTACGAGCTACCTGGTGGTGGCGATCACTGTGTATAAAGAATGTCTAGGGTCTTCAACACTAGGGCCGGCAACCGCGCTTTGTCAATGTAGCCAACTGGAGTGGTTAATCGGATTACGGTATGAAGGAGCTTCCTTCAAACTCCTTGTGTTTAATAGCTCCATGGGACGACTCACCTAACCACGCACATTGCAAAAAGCCATCCTTACACTCCGTTGGCAAACAAGATACAAAATACATGTACATAAATGAGTCCCCAGTGTAGACAGGCCAAGACGAAAAAACTCACCCCAGAGGGTAGCAGGTTTGCCTCCTTGATGTACGTCTTGCCGTGACGAAGGCGCCGGATGATTTGAAGGTTACTGAACTTCTCAAGAAGAAAGAGGATGAGTGGACAAACAAACCACGCCCAGAACACTGGACCGTGTAAGATTAGCAGGAACCAGAAGATAAAGTAGCAGATCTTGTGAGTCCAGTAGAAAATCTGTTGTAATATGGACACCAAAATATGGCTAAAATATAAATACCGCGGAGTCATTTTTAACGCCTGATAGACCTCGTAGTATGAAATCGCAATGTGTCATTTTATATTTCCTATTGCTTGTAAATGAGTGATCTGTCGAACTTATGGACTCTGGCAAAATCAGTGGCAGACTGACCTCAAAATGACCCGATCGCCTGACGTAGCTCAGTGACCCCAAGATGAGAACCAAGAAGACGATGTCTAGGATCCAACCTGTGATGAAAGCACTTCCAACAAGCTTGCCCACTCGGAGCCCGACTGGCAGGAGGGTAGGGTCGGTGAATAACAGTTCGACTGCCGTGAAATTCTTGTATGTCTCTAAGATCACTATCATAGAACCAATACAAATGTATTCATAGAGGTTTCTCATGTGAACGCTTTGGAAAGACTAGATATCTTCCGTGTGTAGCGCCCTCCAATAGGAACGACCGATTTTAACTTTAATTTTTCACAAGCACTGAGTGTACAGTTTTTATAAATATATACATACATATATACACATTCGCGTCATTTCACATTGAGACTTTTTTGTCAAAGACTTAAGAAAATACACAAAAAATCCAGGATTTCCTGATTAATACAGCATGTAAGGCCCTTAGATTCACATGGTGACTAACTTGTATTATTTGCTTATGCACAAGTGACTTTTTCGCTTTTATTTTGCAATTCGCTTCTGGGGGGTTCAAATCCTGTACAATGCCTAAGTCTATTCTTTAAGTGGGTCCTAACAACAATTTGGCGTGAGAGCCACAAAGCTTCAGCTGGGTACATATTCATAACAAGGTTTTGAACATTTACAGGACCTTTCAGGGCAGAAGTGTACCGGCACGCCTGGTTCACTGCCAGGGTTCCAAAATGCACCAGTGTACTTTAAGTCATCAGTACTCACATGCATTGCCGACATGACCCAAGGTGTGTGCGAGTGCTAGGATTGCAGCCAGGTACCCGATAAATTTGTGAAACATAATGTTGTCGTCAAAGGGTAGGATTTGCATCAGCAAGGTCGACGACCTCAGAAAACTCAGAGTTTTACGAAGCATCATGAGGACGATTATTGCGCAGTTGAAGTTCAAAGCCTGACCACAACCACGAGCTAAATGGAGAAACAAATGTTGAAAAAAGAAAGAAAAGAGCAAGGTCTTTATATATACAAATTAATATTACGGAACCACTGTCAATCATTTCATTGCAAAACATAATGATTGCTGCAAAGTGTCCGATATACAATAGATGGTTTTGATCGTAGGCTGCCAATAGACCTAAACCATAACAACATAACAAAGTGTTACTGCAGTGCATCGCGGGTGAAAAGGTGGGATAGCAATCAAAGATGGCGGGCACGATTGTCAGTCATGCGAGCCCCGCGCGATTTTAGACGGAGCAAGCATGCTGTCTCGCAGAGGCTTGAAAAAAAAACAACTATGGCGTTCGTCGTGTGCTTGATACACACAATAACACATGAAAGATGACACGAACCATTATGGAAAATATAGGCCTTTACAATCTAAGGATCTTTTTGACAAGTTTCCAATGCTTGCTCATGTTGTTTCAGCCATGGCGCACGTGCTGTCGTCCCCAACTTTCACTCACAATGCACCATGGTAAACGTTGCACTACGTCATTATGTTTTAGGTCTATTTAAAACATTGTTTTACCATCAATTTGATAAAAATAGCAGAGTGTTCAACTTTAAAATAATCAGTATCTGAAAACCGAAGTTCAAAAACCGATCATTCAATATTCCTCTGTCCGTTAATATACCATTATTAGCGAAGAGATTATTTCTTATTGGGTCAAGGGTAGGCCTAGATTAGAAAGAAAAATAGGGATTCAATATGTCAATGTGACAACATTTACCAATCAGGAAACACCAGTTAGCATCAGGGTTAAATGAATGGCGGTAGGCGGCCTCTGCAAAGACCACACCAGTCACGAGGATTATGGTCAGAAGTAGTACGATTCGTTGGACATTATTCCGCAAGTAGTTGACCCGTAACCAGGGTATACCTCTGCAACCTCGTCTCTTGGGTCTCGTGTCTTTGAGCCAAGCTGCTGCACTATATCAGTGTTTGAAAAATATTATCAAAATGCCAAGTTAGATGAAAATATAATAATTAGGGATGTTCGGTGTATATAGCTTATAAGTCTGTCGAAAAGACCTTTGATTTTACCCGATGGAGAAATTTTCCAGTAGATCTGGGTACCGCTTCAGTGCTGTCATGAACTCATCGAATGAGATGGAGCCATCGCTGTTTTGGTCTGCAGTGTTAAACAGCGTTTCGGTCAGGTGATCTACTTTCCGATCACTGAGTTGCAACGAACTCTCCTCCACTCCCGTCTTCAACAGAGCTCGTAACTCGTCTTTTTCGATGGTTCCATTTTCTAGGAGACACAACGAGAGTCCACCTTTCAACTGAATAAAGGCCTTTTTTCTATTTGTGCCTACTGCCTGCAATATACTCTTGCCCAAAGAACGTCAATGAGCCGATTCAGTATTCAAATAATGCATGCTGAAACTAAAGTGCCCAAACAGCAGCACGCTCGCAATTGCCTGCCCTATCAGCACAGCCATACGCCGACTAATGCGGGGACTAAAGATGAAGGGAAGAGCAAAATTAGTCATTACTTTTTTCTTTCTTTTGAGGAGTCGACATGCTGTAAAACATATCATTTTTTTAATTAAACTAGACATTTATTCTCATAAAGCCTGAAAGTAAAAGGTCACTCAGCGAGCTTCCGGAACCCTTGCGCGGTCTGCCTATGGGGATTTTACATTGGGCCGTCCTATCACGTTATATTTTGAAAAAGGCATCTGGACATGGGTAAAAAATGAATTTTCATTAACGCTCTTTCACGTCCGGCGATATCGTACCTAGGTCTCCTTGTTCACGCACGTTTGTTTTCACTCGCCGTGCTTTCCTGAAAACGAGATTGTACAACCTTGCAAAGATTTACCTACCTGCAGTCGATGTATTCCAGATTCCGTTGAGTTAACATCACGCAGTTGTTGTCAGCAAAGGGTAGACAAAATATTAGAATCTTTCGTAAAAGTAGAACATTGCTTTATGTTTATTACTTTATAAATTATTAAAGTGTGTAAATATTTTGATTTGTTTTTATTTCGGCGTTTACCCACAGAATACCTTAAAATTTCAAACCGTAAATGTTCATCTACGTACGAAACTGCCGCATTGCACTGTTCTTCATTTATTTTAGATTTTGTTCTTGTTCACTTTCATGTTCATTTATTTCCACAGTTTTGCATACTTTTGATCTCAATTTTCAAACAAAATATTTGACACAAGGGGAAAAGTGTGGATGTACCCACTAAAAGCAAAGCTTATTATTATAGGCCTTAAAATCAATCCATGGTTACTACTAATTAATTACTTTACACAAAGACAGACATTAGACAGACGAGACACTTACTCTGTATGTCAGTTAACAAATACCTAAGTTTAAAATAAAACATAAGAATAGTAAAAATGATAAGGCATTCTGGGAGATTTAAGATATTTAGATTAGGCTAATCGATTCCACAGTCAATAATTACCAATAGTAATCATGCAATGTGATTTTTTTGAAGTTCCGTTTGAAGATTCGTAAATTTTTCGAGGCTTTCAGATTCTCATTCAAACAGTTCCATAATCTTGCTCCTTCGTATCGGATTTTTTGTTGGCCAAAGATGTACGTATTAATGGCAGATGAAAATTTGCACTTTAGCGAGTATAATGAGCATTAACATCAAGATTCCTGGTGAAAAGCCCATTAACTGTAGATGGTACGGAACCAGCAACAAATTGATATAAGGGATCCCAACTGATGAAAATAAATGTCTTTGACTTTCAACATCTTATGTTTGGAAAAAAGTGGATCAGTAGGAGCATTAAAATCAGTAAAGTTGATCATTTGAATGCTTCTTTTTTGTAAAAGGAAAAGTCTATTAAGATTACTTAGGGAGCATGCTCCGCACGCAAGAATACCATTACTAAGATACGATAATATTAAAGTATTCTAAAGGGAAGTTAAAACTACAGGAGGGATGAAATGTTTGACTCTGTTGATAACTCCTATATTTCTTGCAATACTTTTACAAAGGTAATCAATATGTTTGACCCAGGTTGATTTAGAGTCAATATATAATCCTAGAAATTTTACACAATCGACTTTTTCCATGGGTACATTATTTACTTTAATGTGTGTCAGTCAAAATATTTTGAAGAGTTATAATATATTGACATGCGAGAGAGAAAAACCCCATCATATTTTTATAGGCCTCTTTGCATTGATCACTTGCTTAGTAATTTGAATAGCTGTCAAAATGAAGGGGGTTATTGGAAATTATCATATTCAAACTCTGGACTATAGCTATTGGATGATGATATAATCTTAATTTCTCTGAGCTACAACCTGAAAACCTTGGTTATCTAACGATCCAAAGGGAAACATATTTGCTCGACAAATAGGGCAAAACCAGGTACCATTACCAAGTGAATGATACTTATTTAACGAAAGTGAGGTACATTCTAGATGAATCCAACTGTCGAAAGCATTATAAAATATCCCATGTTGATTATTTTTAACTGGCAGAGTCCAAGACACACAAGGAAGCTCCACTGACATACAAAAGACGAACACGAAGAATGAAAATACTTAACAGGCCAACTGAAGAAATTTTAGTTTAGTTAGTTACACGCTACAATAATCAATAATACGGTGATTAAGTATACACTATACAAGGAGGGAATTATCATTATTGCGGACCGGAAAATCAACTCAGATCAATAGGGTGATCAATATACGATACTGCCCTGATGTGCTTAACTGGCTTCGGGTGCTGTGTATTTCCTCTCCTGGATGTACATGTCGCCATTACGGAAGACGAGTAGTGACTAGCGTCATGACGTCTCGCAGAGATGTTTTCTTGGCGACATCGGCAGCTGGGAGGTCAGGTAGAATGAACATTCCAGTGTTTGTCAGAGCTTCCTTGGCACCCATCAGTACAGAGTGGCGCTTGGTGCGGTACAAAAATCTGGTAATGATGTGACGGGGCTTGTCTGTTGTTGCTTTTGGGGCCCTGCCTGTGCGGTGGGCAGCCTCAATTTCCGCGTCCGGCAAATTGAAATGTTTAGTCAGGATCTTCTTGACCGTATCGTATCCTTCGGGTTTTCTGGGATCCTACCAAACCGTATTAAACTTCTGGTATGTCGCTCCAATAGTCCGGTGGCCTCCTCAAAGTGTTTGGCTTTCGTCAGGCCTGTATTAATCTGTGTTGTCATTTTGGAAATCCCGTCAGACATGGATTTATTTTTGCTTTGGACTTCTTCGATGGTCGATGACGAAAACTGGATAGCCTCCTTGATCTTATTGTGCTTGGTTTCCAAGGTTTCGATTCTTGTCAGCATGTTTTCTCGATTGAAAATGAGAGAGTCCAGCTATTTGTTTAAATTTGCTGCCAGGGATTGTTATTGTGTCATCGTCTATGTCATTTTTTTCTCTTTCCTCGGAGCATATTTCGCGTCAAACTTGACAGTATATGGATGCAAGAGTTATACTTACAAAAAGGAGGTTCTTTGTTGACTGAAATATAGTTGGTTTTTTTATAGTTTACTTAGACGTGTCAGCTTATGTTAGCGCCCTCAAAGGTAAGGTTTTCGGGAGTGATGGGTCGATTTTTGGCAGGATATTTCTCTTTTAGATCAGGGTAGGTTTCAGTTTCTATAAATTGATATACTAGCAAATATTTTTCAAAGCCCTTTTTCCAAGTTGGATTTCTTAATTTTTAAGAAGAAACTGAACGAAAAATATTACAAATTCTAAAAACTTTACACGTTATTTTTCCTATCCAAGGGTTCCGGAAGAGCGCCTTCAGGGGTTAACTTTCAGGCTCTATTCTCTGCATTCCACACGGCGAGTTAAAACAAACAAAAGCAAATATCAAAGTTAAGAAACTCTTTCCTTTGTATCAATGGATCTATCCAACGTTGTTTTCTTTTTCTGATGAAGGTGGTGGACTTTGTCACCAAAAAACTGGGTCTAAAATAAACGGTTCAGTGTACGCAAAACTATGCTATCAATTTAAAAACAATGATAGGAATGCTGGTGCCCGTTATCATAATGGTACATAAGTACCACAAGGTAGATGGGATAGTAGAAACATTTCAATGTAACTTTTGTCCGCATACGCAAAATAATAAAACTCAAGTCAAGGAGCGTTAGGCTTTCCTGAATATCCTGAACTGTTTGTATCAAAATATTTACAAGTCCACCACGAAAACAGACTGCAGGAAGCAGACAAAACACTTCAGTTTGTAAAGAAAGTTGCTACAGTAATCAAGCAGTTACAATGTGTTGCATGGATATTATCAGGTAGTTGTGGCTACCAGGAACGTGCTTTCATTCTTGCTCTTTGAGGTGACAAATGTCCATTCTTCTGAAGCCGAAACTACCCGCCTACCAATAACGGGATTGAATGTGATTAGCGCAGCCAAAAAAAATTGGAGCATAAAACGTGCCAGGTTTCTTGTTTGTGGGGAAAATGCTATTGCCAGGTATATTGCCAGTTATTGCACGGTATAGTCCTGCTTACTTTGGGGGTTTGACGATTCTAATATATAAAAGAGCTCCCAACCAACAAACTGACTTAGTAGGACAAAGATGGAATCGGCTGCTCTTTTCCAGATATAAAAACTTACTTTTACGCCACGTTCTTGCAGTCCTTTTTTTTCTTTTTCTTTTTTTTTTATCTTACCGAAACACATTGGAAACTTAAATTCTAGAAAGGTAGCTTGGCCTTACCGTCTAAGTCGTAGACGTCAAAGAAGAACCGGAGTTTTTCCTCTTTGGTTCCCTTGGTAAGAAGGAAAAGACCGTCCATCATTTCTTGCTGGGAGACCGTCCCACTGTGATCGTAGTCGAACATATCAAAGAACCGGTCGGCGAAAAATACCTGCCGTATTCAGACGAACCAAGAAAAAAAGACATCAAAATCTCTCTCAATTTAATTTCTTTTCAAACAAGCGTAGCAAGCAGAAAAGGGTTTAAACAAAATACTTTTTCGAAGGGGCCCAGGAAAGACGAATTCTGGTCAAATTATGATCAGTTCAGATCAAATTAGACTAGATTAAAGGAACAACTAAAACAGACTGGTATTTCATTATTTTCTGCATGTTACATTTTCGGTTGAATGGTTGCCAAAAGCCAATACAAGGGCTCCGTACAAACTACGTCCAAGCCCAGTAATTTTCTGACTGTCTCATTTTTTTTTTACCCTAAGATCAGAATAAAGAAATTAAACCGCTTACATTTCGTACTTCCAAAGCATTCTTGAAGCTCTCCCGGTCGATGTCCGTGTCTTTGCCCGCGATGGACGCAAAGCGCGACTCGGCCCACACCAACCACTTTGTGTCGGCATCCAAAACATTCCTACGAGGATAAAGAAGAAAGATTAACTAACAGTGGCTAAAAGGCAGTAGTGACGTATTCAGTATCGGTAACTTGCAATAATTCTGGCTTAATTCTAGTTTTGGTTTTATCTGCCTGCACAATTCAGCCAACAAGTTTATATTACATGTACTAAGATCCTTACACAGTCTTCTCTTATTCACGTTTGATACTCCAATGATGAAACAAAAGTAGCATATATGAATCTACAACTTTGGAAAATTGTTGATTTATTTCGTTTTAGATTTACCGATTTTTCAGCAAACATCGAATTTGTTCTTTGCCACTAAAAATGAGTTTATGAGCTTTAAGAAGGTCAGCAGATAAATTTACGAAATGGAGCTAAAAGAGGCCCATCAGTAGAAATATGTATTCAGGCTTGAACAAATCATTTCGTAAGTACTTATACTTGACCGTATGGTGCATATAGCCACTTCAAATAATAACAAAGGAACTATGCATCTGATAACGAGTGGTCAAGCGCTGACAGCCTAATTTAAGCTACAACAAAATGTGAAAAGAAGGCTTAAATATTCAGTGTTAGAAAAGAAAATAATTCTATAAAACAAACAGAAAAGAAAAAACTGATTATCGAACATTTTGAAAATACAAATAAAAAAACATAACATTTTATGTATGCTATATGATATAGGTAGAAACTGATCCCCGTGAGGGATTGATTGTTATCGTTATTCAGTTTTCAAAACCAACAATAATTAAGTAGCATGTCTACTTGAGCACGAATAAAAGCGTTCAATCTTTCCTTGGGCATCTTTGTTCATGCTTGTGTGTCAAATTACAGTCATTTGTTTAAAAAGTCAACAGTTTAAAACCACCTTGAATTTTTTTGGTATTTTTGTCACTCGGCTTGCATTACACTGTCTCACTGAATGATTACTTGACATGATTTTACAGTGGTGCATAACATCGGTGTAGTGCTATATGCCCATTTGAATGATTGTTTTTGCAAAAGCAGGTCTTGTATGACATTTTGCCTGCAAGGCAGCATGGGTAAAAAACAAAAGCCAGTCTAAGTAATCAGAAATAAGGGAGGGCACACTGAATATTAGACTGTTAACATGTCAAATCATGGAAATGTTGTCAAAAATGTTCAACCAAGGTACCAAGGTTACACATTAAAAATAAAAATAAGTTGCCATGATTGATTGGTTTAAGTTTGGTTTTTCCTTCAGGTTAATGCCTTTTCAGTGGGTGGTCCTAAACTTTTGCAAATGACTGTAGAATCTTCAAAAGCGCCCGCCCAGTGATTTGATGGCTTGGGAATTCAAAAGAAATCATAGAGGTCAACTGACGTCCCTCGACTTTGATGCTGGCTTAATTCAAGCCTCTACGCGATGAGGGTATTAAAAAATAAAGATAATTAAAAACAGCAAATTATCAAAACTTCTAGCTGTCACAAATCAATGCAATATTAACATTTTCTCAATGGAATGAAATTTTTTAAATCCACATCGAAATGAAACCAAAACTGAATTATATAAATAGATTTACTTCTAACAAAAGGAAAATTTAATGTAAGGTTCACTGAAGTTTCAAGGTGCATCTTCTAGAATTGCTGTAAAAACTGCATTGCATAAACCCCTATAATTCTTATGAACAAGTGCAACGTTGTAAGTGAAAATCTGTATCGAGTCCACTCTTACAGTCCCTAGCAAGAAAATTAAATTCTTGCACACTAACCTTCGCCAATATGGCGGTCGTCCGCTTAAGATACTAATCTTACGGAAGTGATCCTGCGATGTATATGGATCCATGCACGTGAAATGTCACACACACACACCAAAGTACACTGACAGTTGACCGACAAGAAATCCAGTTGGTGCACTTTGAGACTCTTTTCACAGCAAACAGGGTTCGGTCTCTTTTATACCCCAATAAAAGTCAGCAGTAATCACCGTGATCACCTTTCTAGATAACAACGTCTGAGCAGAATAATGAAGTCACCACCCCTTGGCAAACTTCGTTTCAGTGCCTTTTGACTTTCAGTAGTGTGTTTGGTCCTGTACACAGGTTCCTCCAACTCTGAAACTGCCTTGTAAGCCTGAAATTTGTCGATAAACAGTTTTCTTTGTCACCGGGCTTTGTAATCACTCCTCATAATCACTTATGCGGTCCCTCCGATACTATCAGACATGACACAGTCATTTATCATGTTGGTTGATAAATGGTGGATACTATATCTTTCAACGGAGTAGACAATGATAGAACTTCTGCACTGAGTTGATGCCCGCAAATTGAACAACAGTTTGGTAATTTTAATACACAGCAAGCTTATGAGGAAGGGAGGCGTGCCCTGAAGTACCACTGTGCTATGTTGGTAATTTCCCGTAATATTCAGAAGTCAACAGTGACCTTGATGATTTTGTGGCTTACAGAGCCTTGACAATGACATTCACCACTAAAGGATTACTGACTGCTCTCAAACTCTCCGGGGTCGCTCAATGCAATTTTTAAAATTCAAATCCTTCAAAATACACCATATGTCTTCCGTGAATGACATCACAGATTAGCGCCCTCAGTTGTCTGGGAAAGCAGTAGGCTATTTTGAATATCTGAAAAGTGCGGTGTTAACAAAGTGCAGTGTTTAACACTTAAACCTCAAGGCAGTATTGCCGAAATTGTTCCATGTATTAGCGTATAAAGTTGATACAAACTGATTCTTCAAAGAAATCATTCCTGTCACAGTGAATGTTAATGTTAAACACGTCATTTGCAAAACTCGTATAGCAGCTCGCGGTTCCTGAGCGTTATGAGCTGCTGCTACTTCTTCAATTTACGACCCAGTAAATAGCTTTGCCAAGTCAACCACTTGGGTATAGTAGCTATATTTATCAATTTTTGTCGTTGGAAGACGCTGTAAAACTTCCCCAGTGGCAATTAATGCACTACTGACAATCCAATGAGCATGACTCAATCAACAAAAAGAAAGGCAAAGGCAAAAGCTTCCCCTTTCTAATCCCCTGCAATCCTCCATTGTTTTTGTAATACAAGAACCACCAAAGAGAAGCTTGGATTTGTCTTCGGGGATTTAAAACGCACTACATTGCAAGATTTGATATCCCTTATTTATACTCCTTTTTATGCCAGCTGTCCGCTTGGCCAAGCCACTGCATTTCAAATCTTCCCTGTGCTTATCCTTTCCAAATTAATCATTATAATTAGAAATGATAGGAAAAGTTTGTGTCGCATAAACAAAAGAAAATCACGTCGCTCCAAATGTAAAATTGGTTAGAATGATTAATGCTCCTTTAAGTTTAGAAGATATCGCACTATTTTGGGCAAGACTCAAAACTTCACATTCCAATGCGTTTTCAGGTTACGGATACGGAAGCGCAGTAAGTCCATGGGAATAAAAAAAAAATGGGGGTTAGCACTTTGTTGTTTGAATTCATCCCCACTCTGTTTAAAGGGGCACTAGGATAGACCATAGAGTCTACAGGATGCGTGGTGTAATTCTGTAGAGTCTTCATCACATAGAATCTTATAGATAATTAAGTCACTCATTCATTAGTTTCATTTCTTACGGCACTTCTACACCTCCGTTTAATACCGAAACCAAAAATGGCATGAAACATTCTCTCTCACCTTTGTCGACGCGGCTTTTTCAAGCTGTTTTTCCTGAAAGTTACTGACATTTTCACAGTGCATCCAGTTGTGCCCGTCTAGCATCAAATGTACTGAACTCCCCGTTGTGAGCTTTTGGATGGGGCTTGCATCATTAAATCGTTGGGCCCAGTGAACCATCAGTCGTGAAAAATGCGTTTCTCGTCCACTTAAGCGGCAGTGTTGTTTGGTTGAGTTACCCTCCATATGGCATGCTCAAGCGGTCATCTCATTTCACATTGATATGAGTGGGCTTTAAGGAGGCTGGTCTACCAGACGGGAGTGAAGGACTTTTCTCTTTCGCATTACATGCTGCGAACTTACTCTGAATCTACACAAAGGAATAAAACAGGTTTTATCTGGGTGTTTCGATTTCTGTCAATGCAGTTTCCATTATACACTTTTGCCTTGTGTTTCTTCTTTGAGCTTTAAATAATGTTGTCTACAAATAGAATAAATTTAATTTTGAAAGCAGTAGTCTAGTCCAATCAGAAAACAGTTCTCATCGCTACAATCGAGTTTGATGTGCCCAGACTGATAAACATCTCTGTTCAAATAAACATTTTCGTTCTACGATTAATGAACAAAGTGAGTTTCGGGAGGTTAAAATTAATTTTAAAATCAAATGAAATAAATGCAAGTTTGACTATCCTTGAGCAAGCAAATATTTTTTCTCAACATGTTTTCCAATATTCGATTTGTGGACTACAAACCGGTGAACATTATTAATATTATGTTGACATAAAGAGCAGGTGGAAAAACGTATATTTTTGGTAATAAAAATTTGGAATAAGTGAGTGATTTTATAGTTTTGGAAACTTGTAGTTTTTGTTTGATTTGTGATTTATCTTGCCCCATAATTAATACTGACAATGTGCCATAAATTGGCTATTATATTTCCAAAATTGGATAAGAGTTTGAATAACAGAATGACCAAATTTGGGTAAATTAAAAGCCCAATCCTGTACCCAACTACTGATAAAAATAGGAAAATGGAGCAATAGTTGATTAAAAATTCCGCTTAATAATTGATCAACATTTGACCAGTTGTCAGAAATATTGACCGGGTAAATAATTAGTAAAAAATGCACGTTGCCCATGTATTGGTTTATTAACTTTGCCCAACTGTTGGAAGAGCTAAATTTGACCAAGACCTGGGGAAACCGTTGCGCCCAATAAGCACGGTCTACGTGTTGCTCAACTGTTGGTACAGTTGACTATCTGCTCTTATAGGTGGAAGGAAGCGAGTCGTGTCCGACCAAAAAGACGAGACTTTGCTCCAGAAGATATCCTCAAGACGCGAGAAGCAGGTCTAATTTTTATCATTTCAGCATTCATTTTCTTAATCAGCTTTCCTATAAAAAGACACCATTTCGGTAAATGTACATAGTCTTGGACAACACCTAGCTTTTTGACAGCTGTCACTTATCGCTTGCAATGGGCCGCAACAAAACACATGATGTTAAAGATTTGGCCTAGTGCAGAAAAAACTAAGGGTGGATCAGAAACCAAACTATTGGAGGGCATTGTTTGAGAGGGGATTTGATGTTAAGGCCAAAAAACCACTCCGGTTTTTGGTAGTGCTTGGTCCAAAAGTGGTGCCGTGATGCTTGTTTTTGTTTGTGTGTTTTGGGTTTTTTTTTCTTTTTTTGTTTTTAGTCCTCTTTTTTTCCCTTAGAAGTGATGTACATGCACATATACTTTAGAGCGCACGGCCTTGTTACTATGAGAAGTGTGAATTAACAACTCTGAATTAATAAAAAGACTATAAAATACGAAAAGAGGCGATGGCTTTAGTCATCTCATTAAAACAAGAGGCTTTATATTCTTGGCAAGATTGAGCTTGTTAAAATACAGTAGCACAACCACAATGGAAAAATTAGATGTGAAAAATAAATGTTCAGCTCTAGTTTCCGGTTTTCAGTGAAATTCTCATGAGGTAGCAGTATATGACATTCTCTGCACATTGTTTTTCTGTTTTAGCTTATAAGAAACAAGCTGCATATAACATATTGGTTAAAAAAAATCAGCATAGAAAATAAAATCTCCTCTCACTCTAATCTACCTTAGTTCTTGGCAAGGGACGATGCATGAGTTTTACATGTATCGTTGTCATAACGCAATGTCCATTGCCACTGCATGCGTATGTAACGCCACTGCCTCGCCGACACTGAAATAGACTGGCCCCTCACGGTTTGTTGCTTAAAAGCGTTTTTGATTTGTATACTTAAGCAGGATGCAAGACCACTTCGTTTGTCTGGTTCCGACGTGGGCCTCGGCTACGGCCAGAAATTACCACCGAGTATTTGGCAGCATCCGCGGCCAGTTCCCATAGAATCATGCGTAATATCAAGCCGCAGCCAACTGATTTGGACACGGCCTTTGTGTAAAAGATACACGAATGACATCATATGGTAAGAGTGCACGACTGAAATGTGTGGAGGCCTAGGAAGATTCCTTCACCGGACATATTACTCAACCCCACCCATTGAAAGCACATTAAAATTACGCGGTAGCAGAATTCCTGCCGATTAAGTAAGTTTGGCGGCTTTTGGAAATCGTTTTATGCAAAATAAAAAACTTCTTTATTTGCCAACGCGCAGGTCTACGGCGACTAGAAACCGGACACTTTTTTTTTTGGCCTTAAAGTAACCTTTTTTTAGCCGGTCGTATAGAGGGGACGCTGTATGTAACCCACACTCACAAAACTGCCAATCCCACAGATCTTTCCTTCTTTTGATTAAACGCTTTTAATTCAACACTACTTTCTGAACCACAAATCAGTTGTTTAAATGTAATTACATTCTGTAATTCTATGATTATGAACACAAAATTCAACAAAGATGAATAAGGTGAATAAAATAAATAAGAAGAGCGCTCAATTTGTAATGAAACTGATATAGGTACACCAACCAGGATCCTGGATTTTTCTGAGTTCTTTCCGTGCTAGTCCTGAGTTCTAACACAAGGAACAGCCAGTCCAAAAAGATATCAACACGCACGTGTCACAGGTCAAGTTTCAGTTCAGTGTCCTGTGCTGTGGCAGCTAACGGAATCCGTAGACTGCCTCCGTGTACTGTGAGCCGCAGATGACTCGACCAGTCCCGTCTCTGAAAACAGCCTGATTATGGATTAGATATACATGCATAGTCCACACCACTTGCAACTGCACTTGCAGCTCACTTAATGGATACATGCAGGTAGCACCTGCTACCTGAGAGCCAAAGAACCCAAGCAGATATAGACATGTACATGAATAACATAATAAAAGCTCTAGAGAAATATCAATATATCATCAATGATTGACTTAAGTTCCGGCAAATATGCTTCCAAATGTAACGAGTGACAAAGTGCAGTAATCAAACTGAACTTTTCCTGCATCTAATTAATACCAAATTATGAATTATATATAACCCAAACTGTGATGTACATGTAGACATACCCCGTACATGTTTTTTTTTCAACCTTGTAAATATATATATACCTATGGGCAGGACATGACCTATGAACACAGGCATTTCCATTTACCGGCGGGTCCCACAGCTTCATTTGCAGCCACAAAAACAACCCTCAAATCCACTTAAATAATCTGCTTTATACCCCATGACACTGTAAGGCTT